GCTGGATGTAGAGACAGGAACTGAAGCAGAGCCATGAAGGAGTGCCACGTACCGGCTTCTTCCCTCTGGCTTGCTCAGCCTGCCTTCTTATACAATCCAGGAGTGCCTGCCGAGGGGTGATGCCAACTGCAGTGGGCTTGACCCTCTCACATCAATCATCAATTAAGAAAATGCCCCACAGTCTTGCCTACAGGCCAATCTTACATAGGCATTTTCTCAATTACAGTTCCTCTTCTCAGATGACCCTAGCTTATGTCAAATTGACAAAAATCCAGCAGTGTATCTACATATTCCCTTTCCTACTGATATATATATATATATATATATATATATATATATATATATATATATATATCTACTGATGTATATATCTATATATAGATCTATATAGATATTCTTATGGGAATAATAACTTGATGCAACTAATATCCTAATTTTAGCATTTTTGATACTACAAATTTAAGATTGCCCATTCTATAACAAAAAGAAAAAAGATAGGTAGTAAGAAAAAATACATAATTTCTGTATGAAGAGTAATCATATGCCCAAGAAGGTTTTTCTTAGGTGGAATTTTTTTCCAAATATATTTTGAGAGAACAGCCATTCTTTCTTTCAAATGGGTGTCTTGAAAGATCACAAACTTTGGTGTCTTTTCTTCTCTCTCACCTTATTTTTGAGACAGGGTCTCTCTGTTGCTCATCACTGTGTACTCCAGGTTATCTATGTCAGGAGCCTCCCAGAATTCTCCTGGTTTCAGCTCTCATCTCATCATAGAAGAGCTGGAATTTCAGATATGCACACTGCCATGTACAGCGTTCTGGGGATCCAAATTCAGATCCTCACACTTGTAGGACAAGTACTTTACCCACTGAGCCAACTCCCTGGTCCCCGCTCATTTTTTGGTTCAGAGCTGTATTACTTTTTTTTTTTTTTTAAGATGGTGCAACTTCTACACCTTCTGTGCTTATAGATTTTTCCTGGAAACACATGGAGAATGCATATACAAACACATGCACAAAAGGAGCAAGTGGAAGTGAAAATAAAAAAATAAAAAGAATACTTCTCAAGACAAAAATAAAGAAACAAAAAAGGAAGGAAAACTATTACACTTACATGTATGGATGATTGAAATAACCAGGAGGAGGGTTATTTAGATAATCAGAAATTATAGCTTACGAGGCATGGCAAGGGAGAATTTTTGCTGCTCTGCAGAGACGGTTTGTGGCCACTAACTATTTCTCCCTTTCTTCTCGGGAAAAATTCTGGTTTGAATTGGATATTCAGAAGCTGAACCAAGAGATATTACTGCTCCAGATCCTTTACAGCTGAGTCAAATGATTCGATTCTGGTCAATGATGTAGACACAGCAAATAGGATGGGAGCTGGGGCTGGGCTCACGTTAGAAGCACATTCTTTCTAGAGTGAGGAAGTCTGGAAGCCAACCTAGATCCGGGGTTAGCAAAAAAAAAAAAGTCACTAGGATATGAGGCAAAAAGTTATGAGCTGATTCTCTGTGATCATTGTGGCTACCAAATTTACTCTGAATTCCATTCTATTGGACTTCTTTCACACAAACAAAAGAATAAACTTTCTGCATTTCTGATGCTATTGATATATTTAAGTTCTATTCAAGACCTAACTGACTGAGGACCAGGGGACAGCACAGCACTGAAGGTCTTGACAAGCTTGAGGGCCTGAGTTCAGGTCTCCAGAACTCACATGAAGCCAAGCATGGCTATGCATGCCTACAGTTCCGTGCTGGAAAGTAGAAGTAGGCAGACCCGAGGGGGCTGGTGGCTGACCAGCCTCTGCCTCAGAGGATGAGGGGACAAAGCAGGCCGCTTGACATCCTCCTCCAGCCACGCGTGCACGAGTACCAGCATTCACGTGTGCGTATGCAGCACGTGCACACACACACAGTGGGCTTTCCTACTGCTCTATAGGAGCAACATCAGAAGTTTGGGAAGCACTTGCGTAAAATCTCTTTGAGAAAAATAGACTATGGCCAGCACTGAAAAAGAAGAAGAAGAAGACAACATCAGTGATTTGAATGGCCTCTACTAAATAGTGTTCCTATCCTAAAAAAAAAAAAAAAAAAAAAAGACACAGAAATATGACCAAATTTTGAAATCAGAGAGCTAATATTATTTTCAAATGACAAGTTCCATGATTACAGTGGTTTGAGTGAGAATGACCGCCTAACCCAGCACGGTGGCATATGCCTATAATCCCAGCACTAGGAGACGTAGAGGCAGGAGGATCTCTCTGAGTATGAGGTCAGCTTGGTCTACAAACTGAGCCCGGGATTGCCAAGGCTATGCATAGAAATCCTGTCTCAAAAAACCAAGCAAGCAAACAAACAAACAAACAAACAAAGAGGAAAAGTGTCCCCTAGGCTCATATACTTGAATGCTTAGTCACCGGGGAGTGACACGATTTGAGAAGGCTTAGAAGCTGTGGCCTTCTTGGCCTTGCTGGAGGAAGTGTGTCACTGTGGAGAGGCTTCAAGGTTGTAAAACCCCACAAGAAGCCCAGTGTCTTCTCTTCCTGAGGCCCGCCGATCTGGGTGTAGAACTCTCCACTACTCCTCCATCATGTCTGCCTGCAAGCTCCTCACCATGATGGTAATGGACGAAACCTCTAAACCTGTAAGCCAGCTCCAATTAAATGTTTTCTTTACAAGAGTTGCCAATGTCATGGTGTCTCATCACAGCAATAGAAACCCGAAGACACAGATATAATGCTTTTCTAGAAGATTTTAAAATTTAGCTTTGGTATTTTTGTTTTTATTTTATGTGTCTAGGTGTTGCCTGCATTATTTATCTGTCTACCAAGTGTGCGCCTTGTTCCTGTGGAGGCCAGAGGTGTTGGAGCCCCTGGAACTGATGGTACAGATATTTGTGAGCTGCCTTGTGGGTGCTGGGAATTGAACCTGGGTCATCTGGAAGAGCAGCCAGTGTTCTTAACCACTGAGCCATCCCTCCAGTCCAACTTTTGTGTTTCTTAAATTCAGTTCAAAAAGATGGATGCCATTCCAGTGTGGTGAGGAAGCTGCCGAACTCCAGAAACAATAACCGCCGTGGGCCGTTCATTCGCTAAGACTTTCATTCTCATTTTTCAGTACACGACCTACATATCTGCTTGGGGACCGCTAACTCTCTAACCAGTTCACTCACAGCCATTGCTCAGCTGAAAGTGCATTCGCTTGCACCATCTGAAAGTGAACTTTACCCTGTCAGTGTTTATTTATTATCCGAATAAGTTCTTCTCTACTCCACAAATACATTGCCAGTGAGTACATTTCCTTATTTAAATGAATAGTTGTTTTAATACATTAATTTTGGGCAATTTTCAAATAACTTCTACAGCTGTTTATTAGACAGAATTGCCATACAATAGAACACACACCTCTTAATTGTACTTCTATATCAATATGATGACCATAGCTCTCATCACCCGCCTTGATAAGGGACATCCCCATCACCCCAGAAAGTTTCAAGGGAATACTTTTTGAGTATCAAACCCCGACCTAGGGCACAAAGGCATACGTTCCACCCTGCGCTTCTTACTCTTCTATGGCTGGAAAATGGAGCTGAAATCGTCTTCTGCTTAAAGCTGATGGATTGGAAACTTTAAGCACTCCCGCCGCGAGAGTGTGCTGAGCATTCTCTTATCCTGCCTGGTAGGAAACAATGAAGAAGGAAGCTGAGCTTGGGGACAGACCTTCTGTGGATTCTTGATTTGTATTCTTTAAATGAGTTTTCTTTAGATGAGAAACAGTAACTTTCAGTAACGCTGTGCAATGATTAATCGCCATTGCTGACTTGGTGGGATTTTAGGATCCCCTAAGGGACACAACCCTCCGGGCATGCGTGCGAGGGCGTTGCTTAGAAGGTGTGGCTGTGCCGGGAAGACCCACTCTTCAGGCGGGCAGCGCGTGCCCGTACTGGGGTCCTGACAGCTAGCTGAGCACCAGCTTCCAGCTCTCTCCCTGCTTCTAGAACAGGGCTTCTGTGCCTCACACTCCCGCCTTCGTGAAAAGTCGTCATCCTAAAACACGAGGCAAACCAAACCCTTCCTTGATAGTTTCTGCCAGGTATTTTGTCTCAAGCACATGTAAAGTAAGTAATGCATCCCTCCTTGCTGCGCCAAAGAGAGAAACTATCCAAAGCAATTTGCAGTTTAAAAAGTCTATATTTTAAAACAAAACAAAACAAAACAAAAAACCTTGAAATGCTGTCAGGCGGTTGTTGGGGTTGAAGTTGCCCATTCGGTAAGCTGTAGTTTCTTTTATCCAATTATCTCTGCTCCAATGCCTCTATTTTTAAAACTTTGTCCGAAAAAAAAGGAAAAAACAACTTTGTCCAAAAGTCTATTCATTCCATCAGTTTCCAGTAGCCCACATAAGTTGGTAATGATAAATCTTGTTCTTCGGCTAGGGTTTGGATTTGAAATGCCCCACCCACAGGTTCTCTTTTTTTTTTTTCAATGCGTGTTCCCCAGCTAGTGGTGATTTAGGGAGGCCACGGGCTGGAGTCTAGCTGGCGGAAGTAGCCTTTGAAGGTTACATCGTTATCATGACTTGAACACCATTTTCTGCTTTTCAGTCACCATAGTGGCAGCCTCGGGGACCAGCTCCTGCCTTCATGTTCTGAGCTGCTTTGCCGTTAGCTACCTTGCCATGGTTGACTGAAACCATGAGCCACAAGCCTTCCCTCCCCTGGCTTGTCTCTGTTGGGCGTTATTGCTACAGTAATGCAGAGAGAACCGCTGTACCTTCCAAAGAAGGATGAGCTCTCCGGACTCCGGACTCTGCAGACGTGGGCGGCCAGCAGCAAGCAGAGGTGAACCTGAACCCTAAGCCTAAACTGCCCAACTCCGCAGTACAACAGCAAGACTGGCAGCCAGCAGCCCAGTCCCTGGTGAGCCTTAGGCAGCGAATCCTCATCTTAGACAGTTGTTTTACTCTAACTACAGCCCACACACGCTGAGAGGCGACGTCAGAGCTCTGTTTGGGGGGCTGTCTCTACATATTTGGGGGCCAGCTCTTTGATGAGGCTCACGTAGTCGCTTTTCTCTGCGCAGGCCCTGCACTCTTCCCCCCAGCTGCGCAGGATCTGCTTCAGCTCCGAGACTCTCATCTTCCCCAGGTCCACAGACGCCAAGTCCAGTTTTTTCTCTAAATGCCAAAAAAGAACAATTGAACAACAACACAAAAATCTTATGGAACCCTTAGAAGGGAATGTGGCGCTGACCTCATTCCCCTTCAGTGTGAGACGGTTTCCCTTCCCATGGGGACCAAGACATACCCAGTGAAAATGCAACATCACCAGTCAACTTTTTATAGGCCTGGATTCTAAGTCTTTGAATGCTGCCAATCATAAACTAACGACATTCAAGGAGGGAAATACTGAATATGCATTGAGCATATGCAGAGATTTTCATCTAAACAATACAGTATAACAACAATTTGCTGGCTGGCAAGACGGCTCGGCGGGTGAAGGCATTTGCTACCAAGCCCAAGGACCTGGTGATCCACGTAGTGAAAAGGAAACTGACTCCTACAAATTGTTCCCTGACCTTCACATGCATGCTGTAGCACACATGCGTGTACATATATTCGCATGCCCCTGTGCACAGTCGTCCTTTCTATGAACATGCTTTGTATCGACGTGGGGTTTCCTGCCTCTACCCTAGCCCTTTGAAGTCTTGAAAAAGGGACGCTTACATAATAACTACCCTGGAAGTCAGGGCCTGTGCTTGGCAAACTAAGAACTAGGTTGCCTTTCGGACCTTTCAACCTGAAACCTGTTTCATGTTTCATGTTTCATGTTTCATATAGCTGTGGAGCTATAGTGTATGTGCACATTGCACAGCTGTGGTGAGAACTGAGACTAAGTGATTAAGAGTTGCAAGAGCGAGCACGTGTGTGTGTGTGTGTGTGTGTGTGAGAGAGAGAGAGAGAGAGGAAACGGAGAGAGGAGGAAGGGAGAGAGAGGCAAGGAGGGAAGGAGAGAGAGAGAACAACTTATGCAAAAGAGTCTGTAGTAGAGGAATTTCAGATGTTAAGAATAGCTGCGGGGGTGGGGGAACGACTAGCAGCCTTGAATCATACTGATTTCATCTATGCAAAAGGCTGGCCCAGATACAACCCTTCAGTATAAGAATAGATTTAAGCATGTGAAATTTATAAGGCCAAGGATAGTTTTAAATAAGGCATCACCTTCCTTTCCTTGCTGTTTATTTTAGGTATCTCTGCTAAGCTACGTCATAGCCTGATCTGATGGGGACAGATAAGCCAGTTCCTAAACGCTGACAGAAGGATGAACCTGGGAGGAAGATGAAGTCATGTTGCAACCTCAAAGTCCTGCTGCCGTTGAACAGATGTAACTCATGTCTTCATAGCTAACCAAGAGTAGCTCCTTATTTATTTTCAGAAAATTTTCCAAACACTCACGGTTTGACACCACCTTAGTAAATTAGGAACTTAAACTTTGGGCTGGTGGTTCCAACTTAATGCTGATTATCCGTTATTATCCAATATTTACTAATAGGTTCTTATTAGTTTATTTACCTCCTTTCCTTTACAGGAGCTCAGCTAACATGAAAACACCGTTCACCAGCCCAGCAACCTATCAGTGACTAGAGAATCCCTTCCCTCTAATGCTGACTCTGTAGATAACACGGCCCAGGGGGTTCACAGCTTTACAACATATGGACCATATTGGGAAAGGCAGTTGGGTCTCAAGTACCGTATTTTAGCTCACAAATCTGGCTGTCCATCTTCTTCAGCTTCTCACAGATCTTCGGGGCAGGCATGTGCACACTCATGGGACGAGTGACTTCACTTAGGATCTTGGTGGCTGCATCTCTGGTGGCTCCTAGATAATAGCACTGAACGAGAGAACGATAGAAAGCGTGGGGCTGGTGAGACGATTCAGACGGTAAAGGGGTCTGCTGCCAAAGCTGACAACCTTAGTCTGATCCCCGAGACCCACATGGTAGAAGGAGAAACTCCTGCAAGTTGCCCTCTGACTTGCATGCCGCACACATGCGCACAAAATAAATAAATGAAGTGCCATTAAAAAGAGTGTCAGCTGGGCAAGGTGGCGCACACCTGTGATCCCAGCACTCAGGGAGGCAGAGGCAGGCGAATCTCTGTGAGTTCAAGGCCAGCCTGGTCTACAAAGGGAGTCCAGGGCAGCCAAGGCTACACAGGGAAACCTTGTCTCAAAAAACAGACAAAACAACAAATACTTAGTGTTCCTGATAATGAATAAAAGCAAGCAAAACAGTGTAAATAAGGGAGGAAAGAGGTCTTCATAGTCCAGCTATTAAATTTTAACCCTGTCTGGCTGAGGTACCAGAAGACCAGCCTTGTCACCGGGCTAATTAGATGCACCTGTCTCTCAGTGTCACAGGATTATCAGGTGCACCTAATTAGCCTGGTGACAAAGCTGGAGTCATTGGTCTTCTGGTGCCTTAGCCAGCCAGGGTCCGGCGGTACATATTAACATGTCCACTTTAGGCAAAAAAAAGGACTTGACTGATACCTGAGGTATACCTCTGTGGTAAACACATGCTCAGCATGAACAGGGCTGTGGGTTCAATACCAAAAAATAAAAATAAAATAAAAAGTTAAAGGACTTAATCTAGAATTGTCTTTATTAATATAGAAATATCGAAACATACATTAAAATCGGGAAACTTAATCTAAAAAAGAAAATATACAATGTAGCCAGTCCTGATGAGACCGGATAGGCTAGGGTCAGAGGGAAGGGAAGGAGGACCTCCCCTATCAGTGACTGGGGGAGGGGCATAGGGGGAGATGAGGGAAGAAGGGCAGGATTGGGAAGGGATGAAGGAGGGGGCTACAGCTGGGATACAAAGTGAATAAATTGTAATTAATTAAAGATAAATTAATTTTAAAAAATAAAAATAAAAAAATAAAGAAAATATAAAAGCCTCAATCATTACATATGAATGATACTGAGATGACTTAAGGGTTCAATTAAGAGTCTTTGTAAAAGATGCAAATACCAACCCATTTTTATAATAGTAAATCATCAGAAACAGCTTTACAGCCGGGTGGTGGTGGCTCACACCTTTAATCCCAGCACTTGGGAGGCAGACACAGGTGGATCTCTGTGAGTTGGAAGCCAGCCTGGTCTACAGAGTGAGCTCCAGGACAACCAGAGTTACACAGAGAAACCCTGTCTCAAAAATCCAAACGAAGCAAAAACAAAAACAAACAAACAAACAAACAGCTTACAATCCCATTTAAGAAAGTGTAAAATTGCCTGCCTGTGATTTACCCAGAAAGGAAAACTGGATTACTCTCAATAAGAATCCATAGTGAATGGAAAAACAAAAAGAAATAAAAAAGAAAAGGACGTGACTACTCCCAGGTATGGTGGAGGAAAGGTTTATTGCAGGTAAAAGGGAGAGCGCAGCCAGTGGTAGGGACATCTGGGAGAGTCCATAGTAGACAGGACCCTGAGCCCTGTGAGGGGGGTAGATGGGGACAGGGGAGAGAGGGGAACAGCCAGGAGGCCCAAAATAGCTGGATTATTTAGGAAAGGACATCTGGGCAAGGGCAGCCCAGACCACAGGCTGAGGAAGTTTAGGATAGGAGAAGGGTATGCCAACTAGGAGGGTCCTCTAACAAGTATCGACTGATGGATGCTGGGAGAACCCAGCCGCTAGTCCGCTCTGGTTCCTTAAATAGGCACCTCAGCCATTTGTTCCAGGGTTCAAGACTTAATGTATAGGACTATGTTTCTCAGAAGATTGGTTTCTGCTTGCTGTCTACAATGAGCATGTTTGAAGCATATATGGAAGTAAGAAAAAACCAACTCAGAGTGGAAAGGGAAAATATTTATTGGTAGGTTGTTGTGGTTTTAAGCATACTGGAAAAAACCGAAATATACCATACCAGGCGGCTTTCTTTTCCTTTGACATCCAAACAAAAGCTGATCAACTCTTTCTCTATGGTGTCCACAGAAAAGTCTGCTCCTCTGGTTAGCAAGGAGTTGTAGAATCGGTTTAAGAATTCTTTGCAGACTAGAAGGAAGAGAGATTTGGGTCTGTTACACAATTCTTCCTCTGCCACATCCATGACCGTGACCCACCCACCAAGTGAGGAAAATGTAGGTATGATTCAGGAGAGGCGGCTCAGCAAGGAAGAGCAATTTGCTGCTCCTGTAGAGGATCCAGGTTCGGTTCCCAGCACCTACAGCTTACAACCGTGTGTAACTCCAGCTCTAAGAATCTGGGGCCCTCTTTTGGCCTCTTTTAGCACCAGGCACACATGTAGTACAAATACATACATTCAGACAAACGCTTATATGCATGAAATAAAATTTAAACTATATAGGTATAATTCAATGTGTTATGAATTCAAACCCTAAGCATTATTTGGGGTTTTTTACTAAAGCCATGAATGCAGTAGGCATTTAATATGAGCTTACAGAATCCACCAGTCTTTGGAACCAAGTTCCACCTAAAATGAAAATGTTTTTGTAAATTTTGGTAGACCCTAAAAGATATGATAGCTTTTGTTTAGGATAAGGTCTTGGGGATAGCTTTGCTTCAGGCATAGGGAAAAATCTGGATAACTCCAATACCTTAAGCGAAGCTCCTTATCATGCACAAGAATGAGCTTGGTAGATTCCTAACCCGTAGTTTTTTAAAACTATACTTTATGTATAGCAATAGTTAAATTCTGACTTGAAGAACCATAGTCAGCCCCAATTCTCTTGAGCTGTGAGAGAGAGAGCTCAGAATAGGCCCAGCTATTGGTAACCACCATGTTAACATTTGGCAGGGCCTGGCAGGGGCTGGCTCTGATGCAAGCATTTCATGTACTCAAGTTTCACAGCAAAGCTATGGCATAGACGCTTTACTGCCCTCTCTTTACAGATAGAGAGACTGAGCCAGAGAGACTATCTTCTCACTTGCTGGGTAAGTGGTAGATAGAGAAGCTAGTTGATCTTAGTGGCCCCTGGCCCATGTTCTCCCATACAGTGGAAAAATAAATCTTTTCTTCTTCGAGTTGTTTTTGTCCAGAATTTTGTCACAGCAAAGAGTGGCATCCCTAATGCACATACACATATCCTCTTTCCTGGCCTTCTGGGAAACCAATGAAGACATGCTGGAGTTTTCTTTATCTTTATTATCTCTTTCTCATCTTATCCTTTCCTCTCTCAGTGATACATTTTGTCCATCCTTTTCTCTTCTACTGATAAGAGTCTCATGTATCCCAGGCTGACCTCAAACTCCCTGTTAAGCTAAACTTTTGATCCTCCTGCTCCATGTCCCAAGAGCTAGGATTACAGGTGAACACTACCACATTGTGCAACATTGAGGGTCAAAGCCAGAGTCTCATACATGCTAGGCAAGCCCTCTACCAGCTGAGCTATGCCCACAGTCCAGCTCTTCCATCATGTTATGCGCTGTTTCTTTTTCCCACCAGTATCTCTAGTCTGCTGTTGGTCTCGTCAATTTTTATTTGCAGAAGTTTAATTGGCTCTTTTCCAAAAGCCTCCTGCTCTATATGTATATTATCAGTCCCTTCACTTCTGTAAGCATAAAAATCAATTTGATGATTGATAATAACCAAACCTGAAATCTTTTCAAGTAGACTACTTCTGTCTCTGGTCTCAGCTGCCCATAGCCTATGCTACCCTTCTTCCGCATTCTGAATGAGAACATGATGCTGGGAAGTCACTCACAGCACTCAGTCATCCTCACAGTCAGAAGGTTAAACACCACACTCTACAGTGTACCATATTACAAAACCGTGATGCTTAGCAGATTAGGTGTATTGAGTGCAGCTTGACTTGTGATGTTTTCAATTTATGATGGGGATGTAACCTCATTGTAGGTTAAAGACTAAACATACACACACACACACACACACACACACACACATTTTGTGTTGGTTCTGTTTCTCTGAAGAATTCTGACTAATCCATAAGACAAGTAGAAACAGTGAGGAAACCTCTCCATACTGTCATCTGTCTCTTAATGATGGGGATGCCATCTGAGATGTGTTGCAAGATGACGTTGGCGTGGGAACATGAAAGAGGGAACTTACATAAACTTCGATGCTGTAGCTTGGTCATAGTTTACAGCTCGTTGCTCCCAGGCTACAAGGTTGGTAGGTATGTTCAAACCTTTAACATCACAACACTACACTGTCACCCTCAAAGTTTACCATCAAGAACCATGTAATTAAGTTACAAGAAAAAACAAACAAAAACAAAAAAAAAACCCAACACATACAAAAAAATCTATGTGTCATGATTTTGTGTTGAACTGCATTCATAGCCATCCTCGGCCACATGCAGCTTGTGTGTAGAACATACTGAGTGCTGTAGACAAGTTTTGCTCAGTATTAGGTATGCTAATGTAAGAAAGGTGCAGTAAAAATGCACCATTAATAATCGTGGCTGGAACAATGGCTCAGTGGTTAAGAGCACTTTGCTGCTCTTCAGAGGACCCAAGTTCAGTTCCCAGCACCCTCGTCAGACGGCTCACAACCATGTGAAATTCTAGTTTCAGGGGATCAGGTGCCCTCTTCTGGCCTCTGAAAGTTCCTGCACACATGTATCATACATACCAAACAAAGACACGTACATAAATAAAAATAAACCTTCCAAAAAAAGAGAGTTTTAAAATAATATGCTGTGCTGCATATGGTTTTTACTATGAATGGAGCCTGTAGAACTAAAAGCTGAGCTGAGGGAGCCAGCAAGCGGTGAGCCAAAATGAGACCAAGAGCATTAGTTCACACTGAAAGAGGCATTATAGGCACCGAACACTTCGGCTGCATGAAATTTTTGGGAAAAAATAATTATCTTTCTTCCATGATAAATGAACCTTAGCTTTTTCCACCGTATAAATTCTTTAATTAAAAAAACATTTAACCGTTTTGTTTTGACACTTAGCTCAAAAAACATATTGCAACTTATCTTCCTTCTTTAAATATTTATGTTTTAAATTAGTAATCAATTTCTAACTTTTTAAACTTGTTTGTTAAAAACTAAGACACAAAAACATCCATTAGCCTAAGCCTACACAGGGTTCAAATGACTGCCCTCACTACCCCTCCTTATCTTGTCCCACTGTGACATTTTGAGAGGTGACAGAACACACGGATCTGTCTTGTATGATAGAAATACTTTCTTCTGAAATACTTTTGGGTTGTTTGATTTGTTTTGAGACAGTATCTCACTATGTAGAATAGGCTGGCCTCGAACTTACAGAGATCAGTCCTCTACCTCCTCTGCCTCTCTGTCTCTGCCTCTCTGCCTCTGCCTGCCTCTCTGCCTCTGCCTCTTCTGCCTTCTCTGCCTCCTGAGTGGGGATTAAAGGCATGTTGTCCCTCTCTTCTGGAATATTATCTAAAGTACCTGCCTAAGGCTACTTTACATTTACTTTTCTTTCTAACTGAGATGAATCCAAGTAATGATTGTTGAAAGTAAATAAACAATTGGTAAAGTTTTATTACAACTAATAAGTAGCATGGACTCTACATGTTGTACTGCTGTACTTTCATATGACTGGCAGTGTCTGTTTATTCCAGATTCAACACAAAAATTGATTACAAACAGGTTATTGAACAACATTGAGTGACAGAATTTTTTCATAATCCCATAGAACCATGCTGGTATGCATGATCCATTGTTGGCTAAAATGTGAATATATGGCATGTGGTTGTAAATCTGGAAACTAATGTATGATTGAGGATAGTACATAAATATGTAATTCATCATATTCAAAAGATGCAGCCACAGAGAAAAGGGATATGGTGAAAGTACAGGCCTGGGGATCACCTTCATGAAATATCAACCTTTAGAAGTTGAGAATGTAAGGCAGATTCAGAAAAGGATTCTTAGGAACAGCCAGTGAGGCAAAACAAGAGAAAGAACCAATGTTCTCCCCAGAGGAAAATGATGAAAAACATCTAGCTTATTGCCAATGTTACAAACCACTGATAGAGTGAAAAATGTCCCGTCATATCTCTTACTCAACTTAATTATCAAACACATTAAGTTTGCAAAGAAGACACCTGCTGGCATAATCAAAGCTGTAAGTAAGCAGGAATTTATCAAAGTCTCTAAGCAACCTCCCATCTTGTCTCCCAATAAGAGAGATGCAGTCTTGCAATGTCTCATTTCTCTTCCCCAACATATCCTCATATGATTTCTAAATCTCATCTGTCATTATGACAAGGTATCATCTATCTAAATAAGGACAAGAATTCTAGCTTTTGTTTTATAAGATGGACATTTGGCTCACGAAAACATGGATGAAATTTTGTAACAGTGCATATATATCCTTTTGTTCAATAATCTGCCTATTGTGTGCCATAATAGATTTTGAAAACTGTGAGATGAGAGACATCATCTAAAGATATTTGTGTGTGTGTGTGGTTTTTGAGACAGTTTCTTTGTGTAACACTGGCTGTCCTGGACTTGCTCTGTAGACCAGGCTGGCCTTGAACTCACAGTGATCCAGCTGCCTCTGCCTTCCTGAGTGTTGGGACTAAAGGTGTGCACCACCAGACCTAGCTCTAGAAAGACTTTTTAAAAGTACATAGCTGCGTGGTAGAAGAAGAAAGACAGAGAACCATCCAAGGGGAGAATCAGTAGACAAGCAACTGTTGACAGAAAGAAGAAAAAGAGAAATATAGAACAAACCAGCTAATGCTGCTGATCTCATAGCATAGGAATAAATTCCTGAGGAGTAAAAAGTGGGAGGATTACTTTTTAACTATGTTGAGTTTTTGAAATGCTATCCACTTCACAATCACCTGTGGAAAATATGTCTGGAAGTGTGTGAAGACGGTGTCTTGGATATGGAGATGTAAGACTTACTAGACTATCAGGCAGATTGATTTCTATTGCACTGTATGTGGTGTGATAATAAATATGAACAGAGGGCACAACACTAGAAAATTCCAACATTTAAGCCACAGCTAGGCCACGTGTAATGATGGTACATGTCTTTAATCACAGCACTTGGGAGACAGAGGCAGGCAGATTGAAGCTAGCTTGTTCTGCATAGTGAGTTCCTAGCCACCCAGGGCTATACAGTGAGACACTGTATCAGAAAAAAAAAAGAAGGAAAGAAAGAAAGAAAGAAAGAAAGAAAGAAAGAAAGGAAGGAAGGAAG